TGCAGTCCTACTCCAGTGATAGAAATGTACATTTTGTGCTCATACTGAAATTATGAGGTCTAAATTATAGTTAAGTCAGTCACATATCAAAAAATTGACCATTGATAGCAAATTCAATTAGATTTACCGTTATTAATATTAACATGCATTGAGGTTCCATCAGATTCACAACTTCAAACAATAATGTAGTGTAGTGTGATCCCCCACTGGCTACCCATTAGCAAAACTGTGTTTATTGAAACACTTGACAATGCCCTTTGTACCCCACATTTAACTCAGGTCTTCGTGGAAAAGACAAGTAGTATTAAGTATAAAACAACATACAGATACAGAGTAGTTGTAAAAAGTATTTAAACAAAAGTATTCAGTTATCTTTCAGTATGTAACATAATGAGCCACTTAATTCATGTTAAAAAAGGACAAGAAAACATTAGAAGATGACAGAGAAACAATGTAGTGTGACGTTTTTGATGCATCAAAATAAATGCAGGATTTTGGTTTTCGGTTATTGTTGCTCATGTATAGTCCACGACCATCACCAATCATTGAAATTATTCCTGGAGGGAGTTTCTTCTGTGCCTTGTATGTCTCCGTATTTCATCACCTCTGAGATACTTCAGGCCACAACTGATGATATCTGCCCCTGGTCTGACTACTACCTCATAAACACAAACACACACACACACTGATACACGCACATTCACATATACACGGATACACATGGACACATAGCTGCTCACACAGACACATTAATAGTATCATTTATTTTCCCACCCCACCCCCCCACCCCCATGAACATGTCAGTGCTGTGACGTATTGCTGCTGTCTGCTCAGCATTCATATGGAGACTGCGATCAGAAAATCAGATAGATCAAATTTTATTCACAGAGGTGCACACAAATGGAGTCGTCACACTCGGCAGAGTACAAATAAAGACAGCAGGGAAAAAATATAAACATCTGGAGTGTCACAATGTCAATGATCTGTGGCATTTAATGTGATTAAATGTCTTGTCTTCAAACTCTTCATCAATGTCTAACACCCAACTAGAGCCTGACCGATACTGGATTTTCTGGCCGACACAGTCTATATCCATCCTTTAGCCACACTTTTCTACATTTGTGAAAGCAGCATTTGGGAGCAGTGAAAGGCAGGGTTATGTCAAGTGGTCAGGTTAGTTCCAGAAGTTAATATCAATTGTTCATGTGCGGGCACTAATCTGGCAGAAGTATAACAGCGTAAGAGCAACTCTGGTGCATGTACAGTACAGCCTCACATTGTTTTAATAAAGATGTTATTCTATAATCAGCATCAATGTTTTTATGTTGTTGTTTTTCAAGTGTAGTGCTGGTTGCCTTGGTGACGAGTTGAAGGTATGCAGCCTGTGGCCTACAGCTCTTTATGCAACAACTCAGTGCAGCTGATCTTTTTTTCTCTATCCTTCCAATGTAAAAATTACCACTGACAAAAAGTCAGTCAGTGAGACCAGTACATTGTGTTTCTGCTTTGAGTGCTTCACAATAAAAGCATTCCAAAGCTGTTACTGGTACAGCTCTGAAATTTAACCGTGAGGCTGATATCAATGAGATAACAGTAAAGCTGGAGAATATGCATTGCTTCTTGTAAATTATGCATAGGTAGCTAATGGAAACCTGCACTCTAACAGCCAATTTCACAGTAACAATAAAGAATAAAGATGTAATTTTACATTAAAATAATAAAAATACAATAAATTGGCATTAAAAACTGGCTTTGTTTAACAAATTTCAGCAAGGTGAATAACTTCCCTTATCCCTATTACAGATCAATTTTGTATCAATTCAGTAACATAGTGCTGGATTTTGCAGTTCTGAGTGCTATCTTCTTTATAGAAATGGTTGCTGAGGATCAGGGGTCATATTTTGTGCCCTACACATAAAAAATATATTGCTCATAAAGCTAAGTCATTTATCACTGATGGCCCTAAAATAACCCCCTAAATTTTCCAGTAGTCTTGTGTGTTGCTGTGTTGGGAAACATTAAAGTTATCATTATCTCAAATAAACTTTCAAAAAGTTTCAAATACAAATAAAACAACAAACGAGCCATTAAAATGTACATATATATGCATATATACATTAAAAGAAGGAACATTTTTTTCCCCAAACTGCTGACTGTGTGGGTTGTGTTTAAACTTCCAATATAGATGATGAAAATGGTGGTATGACTAAAATAAAATGACACTGGTTTTATCCTTTAAACTAGCGAGCTAAGACAGAGTGACAGCCAGAAGCAAAGTAAAGAGCTTTTTGTTCTTTTTATTCCGACTGAGAGCTGGGATTTCTAATGTGAGGCTTCTGTTTTATCTTTACTCACTTTACTGGGGGAAAGAGTCAGTGACATGCACCGAGGCTTCCACTTCACTTTACATCCTCCTCTCTGTACTCTGGCTCTAACTGACTGAACAGTAGGTATTTAAATGTCACCGGAGCTTTCCTGAGCTACTGGAAACAGAGATTTTTTTTCTTTTTTCTTTTGTGAGCCTTCAGTTTTGTTTCGCTTCCCAGAAATGATTCTTCTGATTCAGTATATAAATTTAGCATTTATTTGTATTACACATATTATATTTACTTGTTTGTGCATGTTTTTTTAAACTTTAAATACTGGATTTCATCTTGTCACTACAAGCTAAATTCCAACTTTACCCCACTTGGGTAACAAAAAACAATGAAAAAATGAGAACAGAAGTCGCTCCACCTGTAGCAGTCATTAAGAGGAGAGTTATCTATCCCACATGGGCGAGTCGAAGCTCTACTTTGCATAAAGATATTTTATTTCCCTGACTTTTCGACAGGTTGAGCTGTGTTATGAAGAGCTCCCTGGAGGAACGAGAGTGTTGTAAATATATCCAGACATCAGGGAAGCTCAACCATTAAATGCCTGTTTTGCTGGAAAATACTCAAACTTGTCAAACTTGTCCTGTCACGATTAAATCTGTCCAGGTAGCTTCAACATTAATGACCTAAATAAGAGAAAGTTGTGGCTGCACAATTAAAATCATTAGAGTTTTTCTTAATGTTTGGACAATATTTATTTTTCCTTTTATTGCTTCAGTATTTACGGATTTTATCTCACGACTAGGATTCCTCCTAAATGGTGCCATAAGTTTCCTCTTAAGAGCTTTTCACAAAGGTATATTCATATTGTTATTTTGTCATTCAGTTTGCTATTTGTTTTTAGTTATCTGAGATTTTATGATTAGTTTTATTTGAGCGTATTTGTCCTGCGTAGCCTGACAATGATTCTTAAATACCATTTCATTTCACTCCGTTATTCAGTCTGACATCTTGATCATGTTAGTAACTTCCTGCCTGGGAGGGGTAGTTAATGTGTTTGATTTTGCCCCAACCAAGCAGTCAGGGATGTAGCCATTCTTTTGACATTTGTTGATTTATGAAAATCACAAGTGTGTCAAAAATAGATATTAGACGAAAAAAGCATGTTTCTTCTCTAAACATTATGTTACCCTGGCAGTCAGTTTTAACTTCATGAAACATATTCACGAGCTGGAACCTGTAAAATATGGAGATATTAATGCTTGGCATCTATATATAACTCTAATACTGTACAATTCAGTCATCAAGTATTGATATTTGTTTTTTGAACTTTTCAGAACAAGGAAAGGCTCAACATACAAACTCCACTGTCATTGGAAAATCCCATTTTTCCCCTGTTGTATGCTGGGTGTTTTTTTTTATTGAAGAAGTCAAAGGTTTGAGTGAGACAGTGCACTGTAAATGGCAACAAATATTGTATTTGACAAGGCTGGACGTTTTTGTTGAAACTTGAACATGTGTCACGAAGTGAGAGGTGTTTGGATTCCCAGCGGGGCCTCAGAACCTTTGAAACACATTTAGTCATGGCCATTGATCTGCACCTGAAGCTTTGTTGATTTGATGTACCTGAATGCTTCAGTTTACTCAAACTGAGCTGCTGTATTGGCACTACAGTCAATCAGAGCCTCTGGGTAAGGGCAAGCCCAGTATTTCTTTGTTCTTTTTAATGCTGTAAGTTTGCACTTCATCACAAACAAGCAATGCAACGTAAGTCATACTTGAGGTGATTTAGGAACTGAGAATTTTAAAGTATTTTATGAAAATCTAAAACTTTTTTTTAGCTATTGTTAATTATTATTAATGATGCATTCATTATAAGCATTATTTCTTTCCATAATTTGAAAACATCTCAGACTCTTCTCAGGCACAGGTCCTCATTGTCCTAATGCTAACATGCATCAGCTAACATTTAGCAAATCATACCTGTCTGTCCATCCATGACGTATTGTTTATACAATGTAAAGCTGTCTGAAAGAAAAGCTAAATTCTGGGTTATATAAATAAAGTTGACTGCACATTTTAGCATATTAACATTGAAGTTAGTATTTGGTGAAAGGAGTCCAATGTTCTCTGACTCTTTACAGTTGTTTGTTTGTAATGTTAATCAGTAAGTTAAAAAAATGTACTGGACCAAATGTTATTTTAAACACATACTTTATCCTATCACAGATCACCATCTTGTTGCTTCTCATTTGTAACCCTTATTGAGAGTCACCTCACTGCCTACTGGGGGTCATGAATAAAAATGCACGATTGAAATCCAGTCTTCCAAACAGACTTGCTGGCACAGTAAACAGAGTTTTTGAGTTCATGTTTTTCTGAACTCTATGTGCTGCTCTGAGTTGCTGTAGCAGAAGCTTTAAATGTATTCTTATTCCCCTTCATGATGAAATAACATTTTAAGTTTAAAAATACCCTCATGATGTTATAACACGGTATTCTTCCCTATCAAATGTGAGTCCACGTTATCAGTGAGGCGAGGTGAGTTGAGGGCCGCCGTGCGTGCTGACTGGAGCCGTATAGATTGGCGAAGTCTCAGAGATTATGTCCATTGATCGGACAGGAGGGGTTTGTGGTTTCAATTGACAGCGGCCTCCTGTCTGATGTTGTGTTCTGTGTTTTCAGGAGCCGAAGGAGCCGTGTTCAGCAAATCAGTGGAGACGCCACATGTCAGGGCCGAGCCGTTCAAAGAGCTGAGGTGAGTCGGCATCTGTTTTAATCATAGCACACAAATACACATGTAAAGACGTGCAGGGAATACATACATATGTACATAAACTGAGGCCAAAACAGTGCGAACTGTAATCGATTTGTTCCGAAGAGTAAACTGCATAAATACTGCAGCACTTTTAATGTAATGCAATATTAAACACCTACACAAAAAAAACTAATGTACCAAAACTTTAGCACACACATAGGTGCATTTAAATAGATGCAAAAATGTGTATTTATGTGTGAATTGAGTAGAGATGATTTGGATTAGTCTATTGACAAACAAATATCGTCAACAATGTTGTTCATTTGGATATGCTTTATCTGCATGAGTGGGTATTAGGGGACATTTCCTAAGGATTTGTGGACTTCCAAATTTTTCTTCCTCTAAGGCTCTTTACTATTGTGTGGTTGTGCTCATATGTATTTTAAAGTGTTCCTGTTCAGGGACACAAAATATGGGAGGAGAGATTTTGAATTTATACTGAACCTGATTTATCATTGCTGACCACTACAGCAGAGGAAATTAAATGAAAAATCAGGAAAATACAGGGGTAAAATCTACTGATTTTGATCAGTTTAGACAATGTAAGCACTTTTGCAAAAACATTAAAAGATGTATTATAAAGTGTCCATTCAGCACAACAACACAAGACAAAAAAATCACTAATACAACAGGCTCATCTGTTTCCCTTAGTGGCATCCTTCCTCTGTATGTTTGTCCAGTCTGCTGTGATATAATTCAAGAAGCCAATTAAATACCTATTCTGTTAGACTGCTAGTTTTTTATCTGTTTACAGCAATAATCTAGTCAGGTACTCACACACACTTACACTAGCCGAATTGTATGCATTACCACTGCAGTCTAATGTCCCAGTACCAATCACAGAAACCCCACATTTTGATTTTTATGCCAATATTTGAATTGGTGATGTATGGTTAATTGATGAATCATCATTGCCTTACTAATGGCTTCAAAACCAAGTTTGATTCATCATATGCATTTACTGGCCCTTTTTATTAATATAATTTTGCCCAAAGAACTCTCTGTCCACAGATGTTATATTAAAAGATTTAGGATCCATAGTATGAGCTCATTTTTATGCCTTTTTTTTAATTGTGCAGATTGTATTTGCATGTGTTTCAGCCCTGAAGTCATAAGACTTCCTCAACTTATTCAAGTGCATAGAATATCTTGCCACCTTTCAACTGACAGGGGAGAAAAGAGGTGAAAACTGGGTAAAGAGGCAGGATTTAAATGTAGAAATCTATGAAGAGGTGGAAAGAGTTCTTTTCCATGGGCAATTAGTGCCCATGTCTGTCCATCTGTAGCAGCCAGGATCAGTGCTGTGTTAAGTAATCTTAAGACATCAATGGGTCCATCTTTGGCAACAGAGGCTTCATCCCTATGAATCTTCCTTTTTATCTTCATCAGTCCCTCAACCTTTTCTAAATGAACACTCACTTCCTTAAAATCAACAAACATCAGAGCAACATATCCTGTATCAGGAGGAAATGAAGAGCATAAGATGAGAGAGAAGACTAAAGACAAGCAGAGAGAAACCAGAGGAAGGTTTGGCTAAGAAGAGATATATAGAGAAAATCTGAGACATGCTGTGAGGGTGAGGGGAAGAGGTGAAAAGGAAGCTGCCTATTCGCAGAGCCGGCCCTAGCACTTTTGGAGCCCTAGGCCAAATCTGTTCAGGAGACCTCCTGAAGACTCTCAGACTCCTTTTAAGTGTCATTTATAATGCAAAAGACTATAACCCTGGTTTATCCTATACACATAATTATTCATATTCACATTATATGTCCATTGAAAATTGTAGTGAAGGAAGTCAGCTAAATAGACAGATATTCTGTTGCTCCGTGTCTGCTAGATGTATAAAGGGGCAAATGTTTGGTGGCATGTCAACTTCTATATCTATATACAGTATATATATGAGGACTGTGTGTCTGTCAGCTAACTGTTCAGTTCCTCTGACCCTAAGTAGCCAATCTCTATGTGCTACGAGGGATTAAATGGTAGCCACCTTTCAAGAGTTTGAGAATCACAAGACTTAAGATGGACTATCACTTTAAGATGGACAGGTGTCACAAGCTATCAGCTCCTTGACAGGAATCAGTCAAATTCAACTCTGACTGGTCGTGTTACTGCATCCTCCTTCATTCTCCTCTGCTGTGTACATGTCTTGTGCTTATGTGTGTGTGTGTGTGTGTTGCCATGTGTGGACAGCCAAAGATGTCTCTGTGGCGTAAATGTCTTGTTTATCATCTTTCTCCCGCCTGTGCTGTCAGATGTGATGACAGTCAATCAGAGCAGAGAGAGGGAGAGAGACCCATTGTGACAGTGGAGAGAGGGATGTTTATAACAAAACAAATGAGAGAAAGAAGAAAAAAAAACGACAGGTAGAGAGAGCTACAGCGTGACAGTGAAGGAGTGAAAAGGGTAAAAGTAGACTAAGACAAGACAAACTGTGAAATGGAAAAACTAAATCCATGCATTAGTTGCTGAATCGCTTGACTTTTTCTACTTAGTAATTAAAATGCTAACCCTGTATACATGTGTTTTCACTTATTTTACCTGATTACAGCTCTTCTCAGTACAAATTGGCATGTATAGACTGTGCTTGATTGACATATCCCTCACGCCTTGCATCTGTTAAGTCTGGTAACCGCATATAATTCCCAGCATAGATCCACCCACCTCCAAGTTTGCAGAAGTTTAGTCAACCAGAATAACTGGAAAAACCTGTGAGGACCTTCGATGCCTGAAAAACACAGCAAGTAACTACCTGTTTTTATATGGCGAAGTTGGTGAGTCTGCCCTTTTTGGCCACTTTGGTCCACAGTAAAATATGTAATAACTGCCGTCCAGATTTAGAATATTATTTTTATTTTGGTTTTACAGTCATTATTGAAGGTTTCACTTACGGTAACGAAGAAAATGTAGCTCATAATCTATAAACATACTCATGGTCCTCAGAGGAAGCTCCATTGACATTTTGGGCGCATGATTTTTCGTCTTGCAAATACCGTCAGCAAATGTTTTTCGTACCCAAGGTTCTTCATAATCTAAGAGGTAGACTGCCATCAAATGTAATGTCCACAGTAAGGCTACCCAGAGGACAAACATCTGTGATTTTAATGGCCTTTCCTCTATGGCCACTCACAGGGCAAACCTTATAATTAAAGAAATAGATTGTAGAAAAGGCAAAGAGAAAAACGTTTCTACTAAAAGCAATGTCAAAAGAAGAGATTTACAAAATGCCATATGTTTTGGCAAAATGTGTTCAACTTTACTTGTCTGGTAATGTGCTTGTTTTGCTTCATTCCTCTTCAGGACACTTTTACGGTAGACTACTCCTTCTCAATTCCCCAACCCTTTATGTTCACTGCTCATAGCTATTGCTGTTCTTCATTGCTAATTTGTAATGGTAATCTGAAATGTGATACTCTGCAACACATGCTAATTAAGTTTCAACATGCTTATTCAACCAACGCATTTTAGCACAGGGCCTTCGCCTTGCTAACATTTTGTTCCAAAACTTGAAGTTGGATGTCAGTCTTATACTGGAGTAAGGCTGTAGAGAAGAAGTTGTCCTCAGTTCCCTGCTACATAACCAAAACCAAGACCAACGTTCTTCCCCATAAATAGATGCACACATACATCTGTGTTTGGGCCCTGGACACTTTGAACACCATAGAAACAATCAAGTCACACCCTAGCAACCTACCCAAACAAAAACCAGCAGCCATAAAGCACTGTCCTAAAAACCAGAAACACCCTGGGCAAAACCAACTCCAGTTGAATTTCAAGCAGAAACCAGACCTCAATGTTCTTTAGAAAATTGCCACATCGTTACACTGACTGTTCTGTAACTGTTCTATCTATATAGCACGCTGACATTCTTTGATCTGAATTGAAAGAAAGCATAGAGGGATTGTGGTGGAAAGGCTGTGAAGTGAAAATAAAAAAATCTAGAAAGAGGAAAAAGAGAGATGACAAAAGTATAAAGTGTGAAGATTAAAGAACAAGGGGGAGAAAGGACATATGATAGAAGACTGGCAAAACCTAAACGCCACCAAAAAATGAAAGAAAAGCTAATTTTTGTCAGAGAGAAAGGCAGGAAGAAGTACAAGCGTAAAAGAAAGAGAAACAAGAGGTTGAGACGTAATACACAGAAAAAAAGCTTTACGCAACAGAGAAGAAGAAGAAGAAATGCAGCAGAGATGATAAGACAGGAATTAGGGGTCAGATAGAGAAGGACTTTGATGACAAATATCTAATAACAGTATTTCAGTGGTGTGTGCACTGAGATGAACTGTGATTCATCAATCACTGCTGCTTTCCTCTCAAAATCATCATTTCAAATAATAAAAAAGTGGGAGAAAAAAAGCCCCGTCAGTGCACAGATCATTTCTGAGCGACGCTCCAAAGCCTCTCATCATGTGATTGTCCGTATAATTTGACAGTCACAGTCTACAGCGATGTGTTTTTTCTTTTCCTCTTCCCCCAGGTTTATGCATCTTTCGTGACAACTATCCAATTGAGAATGAAATATGGCACAAACTATCCAATTATGTCAGAAAAGGGGCGCGAGCTCACTGGAGCATGGCTAAAATCTAATCTTACTCTAATCTCTCCCAACCCCTTGGCAGGTAGCAATTGAGGATTCAAATCCTATTTCGGGAAATCACATTAACCCCCAACACACACACAAACACACGCATCCCACCCAAAGCTGTCAGTATTTTATCGAAACCGTAACCATCATATCCATCTGCGTAGTAATGCCTTGTCAACAGGATGTGTCCTTGCATCAGACACACGCCTTTGTGAAAGTGAAATGGCAGCGTGGGTGAATTTGATAGTGCACCTTGATTTATGTCCTGACCAATTCAGAGCAAAGATAACCAGAATAAATATGAAGCAATAAGAAGGAAGAAAAGAAGCCATGGAAACCGCAGCGAGAAGAATTGTGA